AGTGGGTCCTCTCCTTTGCTTCTCTCAGGAGTCGCAGTGCCCACAGAGGCGGCCCGCAGCGGGACGCGGTCCCCGCAGCCCGACGAGGAGGCGGGATGTCGGTGGTGGGCATTGACCTCGGCTTCCTCAACTGCTACATCGCGGTGGCGAGGAGCGGCGGCATCGAGACCATCGCCAACGAGTACAGCGACAGGTGCACGCCGTAAGTGCCGCACGCCCCCTTTCCTCGGGTGGGGCCCGGGACGCCCTTCGCGACAGGTGCAGCGTCTACAGTCGGGTCCGAGGGCGACAGGAGCTGGTGCCTCGCATCGCCCCTGCTGGCCGCAGACGCCCTTGACCCACCAGAGCCCCCTCGTTAGGCTGCAGGAAGGTGCCAGTGCAGGGCCACCCAGGCGTCCCAGACGCAGAGAAAGGTCTCCGGTGGCCTGTGGCCATGACCTGGGATTATCCTGCACTAGCTAGACTAGAGCTCTGCGTTCTGCCCTCCCTCCCCCATCTCCCTGAGCGATAGCTTTCTCAGAAAAGTGACCCCTGGTAAGGTACACTTCACGGAATGAATGGTAGTTTTTCTAAACCTAGAAGCATTTGTTTTATTTATCAATCAGTCTATTTATAGAAGAAAGGAAATGTTGTCCTTGAGAATTCGAAACCATCTTACCAGTTTCCGAAGGGATTAGGTTAATGGTGCATTCGCTAGGAGAGACTCGGCAGTGGGAATCTTGACCGAGTATATTGTCAATACTGTCAGTTTGTGGAAATTTCTACCTAAAGAGTATTTCTATAGAGTGAATTATTGGTGAGTCAGAGGCGACTATCCTGTATAAACAGGATTGTGGAGTGTTTCCATTATGAACTCTTGATGAAAGACTTAGTAACATTATGTCATGGAAACATGTGGGAAGTTTATTGGCAAAGAACACAGCTGATACTTGCATGTGAAAAACTCTTCTTGTAGGCTCCAGGTAGCCTGTAATTTTATGAGGAAAATTTTGTTCGTGTATTTTTATGGAGAGGTCATTTATTCGATCCTTGTGAATGATCCAAACTTAATTTTAAATTAAACTGTTAGCCAAGATCAAGTTAAATCATCTTTAAATGCTGAAGTTGCTACAGTTCTAGGAGTAGTGTAAGAATATAGCAGTATGTTTAAGAATAGCATTTGTGAATGCAGAATGCGTTGTTTACAAATATAGTTTAGACTAGCTTTAGGTCTCCTTTTCTTTCTAGATTGACACATCACCTCTCTATTGAAATTCTAGATATTTATATGCTCAAATGTTGGACATAAATCAGGTAATCATCGTATTCCCAGGGCCAATAATTTACTCATGATTTATTCATTCATTATGTATTTTATTAGAAAAATTTTGTTAAACTTAGAAATATTGGTACCTAAATGATAAAATTAAAAATTGTAATTCTATCCAAAAATAAAATTTCCAGATGGTTTCTATTTGTTTTTAAGATTGGAAGGGGAAAATAGACTTGATGTTCTATTTACTAACTTTTATGTACAGTATTTCTATACCATTAGTTTTAGTGTTTGTATGATCATTTCACTAATTCCATTCCATGTCTTACCTTTATGTGTATATTTCATTTTTGCAAATAATGTTACAATAACTACCTTTTTGTTTCCTTTTACTTTGTATGTTTGGGTTGGTGTTTTTGTTGTTGTTGTTGTTGGATATTTTTGAAAATTCACATTTAGTGGATGATAAGCTACTATGATTATTTTGCTTCTGACAAAAATTCAATGACTACATTTGCTGTCCTGTTTTTTAAATTAAATTTGTTTGGGGGTTATATGGGTTGATAGTACAAATTAAAACATAGCCAAACATAAGACTGTTTTAAAAAATCTTCAAGTATTAATAATGCAAGACTAAACAACTCCAGTCATTGCCTTGATTTTATAGGTGAGGAATTTGACATTAAATAAGTATAATGAATTTATGATGTTTCACATGCCATTGGTAGTCTTTTCAGTTTGTGATCATTATAAAAATTAATGATCATCACTGAGATATGGTAAGATTTCATTTAAGAAAGTATGTTGCAGATGGTAGTTTACAGGTTTTCTAGCCAGATATTTTTAAAGAACCTTAAAAACTATTGTACATTTGTATTTGCATTTTTACTGGGTGAATTTTGGGGAGGCTGTTTTTTTGTTTGTTTGTTTGGGGGATTTTTGTTTTTGTTTTTTGAGACAGGGTTTCTCTGTGTATCTCTGGCTATCCTGGAACTAGCTCTGTAGGCCATGCTGGCCTTGAACTCACAGAGATCCGCCTGCCTCTGCCTCCCAAGTGCTGGGATTAAAGGCCTAAACCACCACTACCTGACAGCTGGGTGAATTTTTAATTAAAACCATCATCAGCCTAATAATATGTATATACAATCACTGATCAGTTTCCATTTTTGTTTTTTGAGACAAGATTTTGGGCAAGTAGCCCAAACTGATCTTGGGCTTGATCCTCCTCCCTCAACCTCCTGAGCACTGAGATGAAAGGCAGGCATTGCCATGCCTAATACCTGTTCAGCTTCTTCAGTATTTGTGTGATTTGTTAATGGTCTCACATTATAAACTAATTTAATCTTTAAATTATATTTAATAAGCTTATGGGAACTTACATTACTTTTTCATTTGTTAAAATATTTAATCCTTTGACCATAATGAAAGATTGGAAGTTCTATGTTGTCATTAAATTATATATGCCTAAAGTTTTTTTAAGCATGATTGAAAGCCTATAGCAACAATATTTCATTCTGAGCACATTTCCTCCCTCTTCATCCTCTACCTTAACATTTTCCCCAGATAGTTTAAAAGTATTCAGATGTAAAATTCCCTGAAGAGCTAGATTCTCAAGTCCCTTTACTTGTAAGCACTGAAAAGTGTCCTAAGAAAAGAATGTTTTCCCAAGCTTACTTTAGCATTAAAGAACTATGTTGTACAGAAACTTGAGATCTGTGCCAGGGTTCTTAGATGCAAGTGATTTTGCCCTCATAGGAACATTTTATACTTACCTACAGATTTTTTGTGGTTGTCACAGTTGAAAGTAGGAGTGAAAGTGTACTACTATTAGCATCTTGTGGGTAGAGGTCAGCGTGCTCAACAGTCACAGTGCAGTACAGCCCCATTCATCCAACAGAAGAAGCATCTGGCCCTGTCAGGATTGCCATGGTTGAGAAACTGCTTTCAGGACACCCTGGCACTATAGTTGGAACAAACACATTGCTTAGCTGCTGAAAATTTAATTCACAGCCAAACTGGCAACATAGGAAGAGGGTCATAAAGACTCACCAAGGAATTGAAGAGATCGAAGCTTGCTGGCTATCTCGTATCATTATTCATCCAGCAACAACACAGTGACAGTAGAAGGCCAAGAATCCTGTGGTCTTTGTCTGGGAAGGTGAAAGAAAAAACTAGGACTATTTTTTAAAGGTTATGTAGCAAATTGTTTAGAGGAGCAGACAGATATATAGAGAGGTGGCTGAATTCAAAGTGCAGTGGGCCTCAGTGTGATGTCAGCTCTTACCAAGTCACACTGAGATAGAACCTTTGTTTTGTATTATACAGCACCATACATTGTTCTCTCCATTGCTTAGAAACTTAATTTCCATTAACGGATGCAGACATTTCAAATTTGTAATTGGGTCGTTGAGGCCCTATACAGTCTGACCTCGATACTATCTTAATCAATCACTCCTATGAAACTAGCCAACTCTGTATTCTTCCTAGTTACCCTGAGGATCATTCAGAAAGTGCCCTTCCTGTTTACCAGTCAGTACACCTGTCCAGTGCAGTAGAACTTTATGTTACTTATATTGGTTCTCTGTATACCTTTTATATCTACTAGCTACATGAGAGTGTAAGGAACCTGAAATGTGACTAGTTTTAAGGCACAGAATTTTGTTACTTTAATTTAAAATTTACCAAAAATGTGTGAGCATTGGATACCATTTTAATAGTGTAATGAGCACAGTGCCTTGTTCCCTTACAGATTTCACATTTTGCCTAGAGATACAGCTGGAGAAAACAGTTGTATTAGATGGTAATATATACTATAGAAAAGTAAAATTGGTTTTATATTCCATGAGATGTTTATGTTGGAGAGAATCAGGAATGCTGTTTATATAGGACTGACAGGGTAAAGTGTCAGACTAGGAACTTCTAAGGAGACTTGCTTGGCTCCAGATTCTCGTGGCTGGAGAACACATCCTGCACATTGCTGGTGTTCTGGCAGTGTCAGAAAGGGGACATTCTGTATGTGACATACTTCTGCAAAGTGAACACTGATTTTTCTGAGTTTGGTGCCTCATAATCTGGCTCCTATGCTCTACACAAGTGTCATTACATTTGGGACTAAGCTTTTAGCACATGAACCTTTAGAGGTAAACCATATCTAACTTCAGCACCTGTGTGCCTGCAATGTCCTTTCCACCAGACAGCTACAAATTAAATGCTTTTATTTCCTTTCAAGTCTTAATTTAGAAGTTGCTTCCCCTAAGCCCTGTGATGTGGAAATGGTTGTTCTTTTTCATTATCTTAGGTATTCTGTTGAATTTTTTCAGCAAATTGTAAATTATCCAAGGATAAATAGTGGATAGTGTATGCACAGCATTTGTTGATTGAATAGTTTCTTGTAGTTAAAACTGAAATCATGGAAATATTTTCTTCAATAACATGATAAAATCTTAATTTTTATTTTTATGTGACATGTAAAATGTAGTGATTAAAATATCAAGCATTTTAATTTTATTGTGCCAGGTGTTGACAGCACTTCTTTTTTTTTTTTTTTTTTTTTGGTTTCTCGAGACAGGGTTTCTCTGTGTAGCTTTGGAGCCTATCCTGGCACTCGCTCTGGAGAACAGGCTGGCCTCGAACTCACAGAGATCCACCTGCCTCTGCCTCCCGAGTGCTGGGATTAAAGGCATGTGCCACCAACGCCCGGCTTGACAGCATTTCTTAACACCTACATTCACTCTCCTGGTTCTCATATAACCTGATGAGCAGGTGTTGTCATCACTGTCACCATATGGAAAACTGAAGCAAATGATGCTTACATAACTCCCACAAGATATTTAGCAGTTAAGCCAGAGTGGAAATCCAAGCAGCCTTACTTTACTAAATATGATTACTTTTTAATAGGTCTCAGGTCAGTAGAATTTGAAAAACAATTTTGGCACCAATACTATATTGTCAACTATTAGAACAGTTTTTTAAATTCTAAAATTCTGATCACTATTTTGTTACTATAAAGTTTAAAAAATGTAAAATTTTTATTTCTACTACCTGTTTTTAAAATAATTGTTTTAATTATTTTAAGTTTACTTTAGTATAAGGAAAACCATATAAAACCGCATAAACAGTATACCAGATAAATAGAGGAACTCTTGTTCTCATCTTATTCAGGGCCTGTATATCTTTGGGATCCAGAACTCGAGCCATTGGAAATGCAGCAAAGAGCCAGGTATGTTGTTAGTGTGGTTGTTTTGGCTTAGAGAGAAAGTTAAGTGCATGATGGTGAATTCTCGTGGTATATAGTTGAGAATTAAAGTATAGAGTTGAGAATTACAAGTAGGACAGAGTCTTATGCCTTTGTATTTTGTCAGAGACGCTTTGCTGGGTGTGGTGGCACATACCTGTAATCCCAGCTCTTGAGGCAGTAGGATTAAGAGTTCAAAGCCAGCATAAGAAGTATGAGATACCATTTCAAAATAAACGGGGTGTGGAAAAGGGAGGAGAAATAAATTTTTTTTGAGTTATAGACTAATTTTTATTTTATTTATTTTAAAAATTGTAAAGGTGAATGTCCGACCATGTGGATTTTTTCCCCCATTTTTTCCCCCGGTATGATCACTTTCTATAAGGGGCAGTCTTCTGGATCATTCAGTGAATAATAAAGTGTTCTTAGTAAAAGAAAGTGGGAGAAACAAAGGAGATAATTTCCAAAGTTACTTAATGTGGACCATGAAATTTAAGTACAGCTCTAGGCTTTTGAAATGCTTATGAATAGAATATTAACTTCAGGTTTGCCTGTTTGCTTGATAGCTTGTTGTTTTTATATGGGTTTACTTTTTCTTTATTTTCCTAAACCAAAGTTCTTGGTGGTTATTTCTTATATTTTGTGTATAGCATTGTCTTTTTTTCCTGTTTTCATGTCTGTAAACCTAGCACTAAGGAGTTAAAATGATCAGGAATTCAAGGCTGATCTCAAGTGAGATTAAAGCCTGATCTACATGACATCTGTTTTTAAAAAAGATCAGTAATATAATGAGCCATTATTTCCTCATGATTTTGTAGGAATTATTTACTCATTTATTTAAAAATTTTTGCTTACAACTTTGAAAGAGAATGTCTTTTATAACAACTATTTTGTGAAAGTGTTTTATGTTTTCTACATTCATGTTGTATATAAATGTTAATAATGTGCTAAACCAGCTCCTTTAATTAGGTTTATACATCACATTGTTGTTTTTAAGAGTTATTTTTTTATTTTATTTGTGTATACATCTGTGTCTGAATGTACAGGTGTGGGGCCAGTGCTCCTGAGGCCAAAAGAGAGTGTTGAGTGCTTTAGAGCGGGAGTCATGCACCTTGCATGGCTCCTAATAGGAGTGCTGGGATCCAAACTCAGGTCTTCATGACTGAGCAGCAAGCTCTCTTAACCACTGAGCCACCTTTCTAGCACCATCATATTTTGACTGCTTTAAATTTAGCAGAAATAATCTTTGTTTAAAGCAGCCTATAATGTTACTCTCCCATGAGTTAAATGAACTGAGTACCCCTATGTTTTAATCCCATGATGGAAGCTCCAGATCTGTTTGAAGGTCAGATACTGCATCTAAGTAACTATACATTTTGAACAAAAAAATTATCTTGTCAAAATATCAGTCATTTCCAATTAAGACTGCTGATTAGCACTGTACTACATAGAAGGGATTTTAATTACTGGTCTAGGGGTGGTTTTCAGCAATGGGAGCAATAAATAAGATATCTCTCAAGAAAATTGACATTAAGGAAAAGGAAAACTAAATTATTTTAAAAAATTAAATAAAAAACATTTAAAAATGGGGAAAGGTTTGGAGAAATGGCTCAACAGTTAAGAGCACACACTGCTCTTGCAGAGGACCAGAATCAGCTTCCTAGTACTACCAGTAACTCCAGCCCCAGGAGATTGGACTCCTCTTCTTGGCCTCTAAGAGCCCTGTGGGTACTCATATGTACCCACACACCCACACACATAATTCAAAATAAAATTTTTTTAAATGAGGGGAAAACACAAATATCAAAGATAATAATTTACTGGATCAAAAGTGCTGAAAATGAGCTGGGAAGATGGCACAATGGTCAGGAATACTGGTTATTCTTCCAAAGGTCCCAGATTTGATTCCAGCACCCACATGGTGGCTCACAGCCATCTGTAATTCCAACTCCAGGAAATTTGATTCCTTCTTCTGGCCTTATCTCAGGCACCAGACATGCATGTAGTATACAGACATAACATGCAGGCAAAATAACCCATACACATAAATTTTTTTCAAAGTGCTGAAAACGAAGAGATGATTTGTCAATAGTTTTTTACCATATTACTTGAAAAATTTTAGCTTTTATATTAACATTCTCTTTTTCACTAATTCCTAGGCTAAAAAGAAAATTGTAGAGACATACATTATATCATACCTTTTAGCTGGAAAACAAGAAAATGAATGAAATAATATTCTGAACTTGAGTATATTGGATTAGGTATTTTGGGTGGTTTTAATATTATGGATACTACCTTATTTTGCCTCATTAAGTAATTGATAAATTCAAATGTCTATTGCCAACAGATAGTCACAAATGTAAGAAATACAATTCATGGATTCAAAAAGCTTCATGGACGATCATTTGATGACCCAATTGTGCAAACTGAGAGAGTCAGGCTTCCCTATGAACTGCAAAAGATGCCAAATGGAAGTGCAGGAGTAAAGGTGAGCTTTGTGATTGCACAGTACATCTGTGTCCTTAAAGGAAAGAAAACGTGAGAATGTTGCTGTTATAACTCAGATATAGTACATATGTGCATCTCTTCTGGCTGATTTATTGTCAACTTGTCACAAGTTAGAGTTTTTGGGAAGGGGGACTCTAAATTGAGAAAATGCCTCAAGTACTTGCCTACAAGTAAATCTGTAATACAGTCTTCTTATGGGTCCAGCCCGTTGTGGTGGTGCCATCCCTGGCAGATAGGGGTCCTAGGGCATAAGAAAGCAAATTGTGCAAGCCATAAGGAGCAAGCCAGTAAATAGTGTTCCTTCATAGCCTCTGCATCAGTTCCTGCCTCCAAGTTTCTGCTCTGACTTCCCTAGATGATGTAAGATGAAAATAACCCTTTCCTCTCCAAGTTGGTTTGGTCATGGTGTTTTATCACAGCAGTGGAAACCCAAATTAGGACAACACTTGAGATAGTCAAGTTTGCAGTAATTTTAGTCAAGAATGCAAAATATTCTGTTTTGGATAGTAACTTTTAAAAAGAGTTATTTTGTTTGAAAGAAGAAATGACTAGTACTGGGAGAACTCCAGTAAATGAGACTTTTCTAGGGAGTAAAGGCACAGCCACGTACAACTTAGAAGAGTACACCTCCAAAGTAGTAGAACTGTCATTTTTTTCAAGTTTATAAGAATCTTGTAATATTTAGAATTGCTAGAACAAACTTTTTTTTTGGAAGATAAGTTTGTATTTATGTACAGAAAACTTAGCGGTGAGTGTACATTTAACCCAGTTTAGTAGCAAGTTCTTTAGCCTTTGCTTTTTCCAGCTTGGCAATTCGAGCCACAGATTTAGGACCCAGGACATTGCCTCCCCAGTGGCGTCGGATCTCATCATATCTGTCGTTGTAATTGCTTCCTAATAGCTTCCACCAGCTTAGCCAAAGCACCCTTGTCTTCCGAGTTAACCTGTGTGAAGGCAACAGTGGTACATGTTTTCCTGTGGACCAGTCATCCCAGCGTGGCTTTTCCCTTGATGATGCAGTAGGGGACCCCCATCTTCCGACACGGGGCAGGCAGGAAGACTACCAGCTCAATGGGGTCTACATCGTGGGCGATTACCACCAGCTGAGCCTTCTTGTTCTCCACCAAGGTGGTGACTGTGTTGACTCCTGCTCAAAGAACAGGTGGCCTCTTAGTTGGGACATCCCCTTTGCCAGCAGCCTTCTTCTCAGCATGGGCCAACAGTCTTTGCTTCTTCTCCTGCTTTGTCTCTGGCCTGTACTTGTGGGCAAGCTTGAGCAGCTGGGTAGCTGTTTGCCGGTCCAGGGCCTGGATGAACTGGTTAATGGCAGGAGGAACTTTTAAGCCGCTTATAGAGGATGGCCCTTTGCCGCTGCAGCCGAATGTATCGGGGCCATTTGACGAAGCGTGTAAGGTCTCGTTTGGGCTGGATGTCCTGCCCAATGCCGAAGTTCTTAGGCCTCTTCTCAAACAAAGGGTTCACCACCTTCTTGGCCTCCTGTTTCTTCATGACGGCGGGGGCCGGGGCCACCTTCTTCCCCTTGGCCTTCTTTCCCTTGGGCATCTTGCTTGGCTGCAGAAGAGAGAGAGCTAGAACAAACTTTTTTAAAAGAAATGGATTCTGTGTTTTGACTTCATTCTAAACACTTGTTAGAAATTGGTTTACACAAATGAGTGAGATACTAAAGCACAGTCAGTATATGAGTCAACAATTCTGCTCCTTACAAACCCCAAAGAGTTGAAAATATGTTCACAAAATTCCTATACATGAATATTCATAATATTAACAGTGTAATTTATAGTGATGAAGTTGCTGTTCTCATGTGTCCATCATGAGTTGGATAGGTGAAATAACATCTATACAGTAGAATAGTATGCAACCATAAACAGAAAGTACCGATACACACCATACCATATATGAACTTCAAAAACATGCTAAATAAAGGAACCCCAGCACAAAAGTCCACATAATTTAGCAGTCTAGTTATTTGCAGTATGCCAGGATACAGTAAATTCATATGGGCAGAAAGTAGATTAGTGACTGCTAAAAAGCCCAGGGGAAGGGAAAATGGGATGTACAGTTAACGACTATGAGGAGGTTGATTTTTCGAATGGGCTGGGGAAAACTAAGTTTTTAAGAGAAAACTCATTTTCAAGCAATAAAATTTTGTATATTCAGTATGAGTGGCTATAGGATAGTTAAAAGGCTTTGGAAGTGTCAACTTTGTGTTCCACTGTCTCCATCTTTGGAATCTGAGGATTGCTAGTCAGCTCTGTGTATTTTGTTCACTTGTTTTTCTTTACAGATTTGATTGAATGTACTTATTATTCATTTCATCTAACCTTCAAATACCCTTATAAAAAGAAGTACTGAACACCTCATCAGCCAGTTTCTGTAAGACTATGTGGCTTGATTCATTCTTTTCAGTGTTGCTCATTTCTCCTTACCCCCTTATTTTAAAGGCAGCAGTTCAATAGCATTTGCTACGTAGGAAAACAGTAAAAATCAATTTTAGTTGTGGTTGAAAATCTCTCCTGTATCTTTTTATATATACTGATTTTTACATATTTACACATCTAAATGCATTGCTAGGCTTGAGAGAATTCTACAGAACTCTTTCATAGAATAAAGGTGCACTCGGGAATCTAGAGGTAAAGAACATAGGCTTATATTGAGTGAATTTGTTTTTGCTGGGCATGGTGGTGCCCACCTTTAATTTCAGACTCAGGAGGCAGAGACAGGCAGATCTCTGTGAGTTTGAGGCCAGCCTGGTCTACAGAGTGAGTTCCATGACAGCCAGCACTACACAAAGAAACTGTTTCAAAAAAAAAAGTTTTATGCAAGTTCTTCAGATCACTTTGTATTGTATTGTATTTCATGAGTATGGTGTTTTGCCTGCAGTATTTCTGCATTCATGCCTGTTGCCTTCGGAGGGCAGATTCCCTGGAGGTAGAGTTATAGATGGTTATGAGCTGCCATGTGGTTGCTAGGTGTTGAATCCAGGTCATCTGGAAGAGCATCCAGTGCTCTTAACTCTTAGCCACCTTGCTCTGCTTTGCTTTTAAATGCATCATAAAGGCTAAATTTTCAAGTACAGATTCCTTGCTCAAACTAATCTTATATTCCTAAATGCAACACAATTAGGTGATAAAGTGATATCTGGTCTCCATTAATCTTTAAATTTTATACTTAATCCATATGTGTCCCTAGGAACTTTGGTGTAATCCAAGCACACTTTCTTCATGAGGATTATTTTCCTTTATTTCCCCAGTGTTTTTAATTTCCTCTTTTCAAAAACATGTGACTGATGCTTGCATATTAATACCAGTAGTACTAACTTTTAAGAATTTTATCATTTTTCCTTCATTATTTACATCAGACATGAAAAATTAATGATAAAAATTAATGCCTTTTGTGGATGAAGACCTACAAGTTTAGAACCCTCTTCAAAGTAATATAATTGTGTGGAGCTAAAAATGAGAGGCATGCTCAGTTTTGCTAGTGACCATCTGTAAGGAATAGACTGCTGTTTATACTGTTGTGTGTGGTGTACACATGTGTTTTGTGAACAAGTGACTAAGTGTATCAATCTTGGTTGTAGGTTCGGTACCTGGAGGAAGAGAGACCCTTTGCAATTGAACAAGTCACCGGGATGTTGTTGGCTAAGCTTAAAGAGACCTCAGAAAATGCCCTGAAGAAGCCAGTGGCTGACTGTGTGATCTCGGTGAGCTGCAGGGTATTGACATCAAGGAGAAAAGGTTTTCTCTACAAAATTTCTCCTTTTGGCCAAAAAATAACTTAAACTGATTTTACTTTTTTAAAAACTACCTTATTTCATAAAGTTTAGATTGACTCTCCTATAAACTCAGTTCTGATAATCAGTGAATCTTCCAAAAACCAGAGTGGGTTTTTTTGTTTTGTTTTGTTTTGTTTTGTTTTTAGCCTTCCTAAGGAATAAGTGAGATGGCTCAGCAGGTAAAGATACTTGCCACCTGAGTTTGATTCCCCAGGACCCAGATGGTGAAACCTGACTTCCATTGTCCTTCCATTCTTCATGATGTCATATCCCTTTAATCCCAACACTCAGGAGGCAGAGGCAGACAGATCTCTAATCTAATTTTATCATACTCTTAGGGTTTAAATTTTCATTATTAAAGATGGACTAGTGGGGACTAGAGAGATGGCTCAGCGGTTAAGAGCACTGACTTTCTTCTAGAGGTCCTGAGTTCAGTTCCCAGCAACCACATGGTGACTCATAACCACCTTGAATGAGACCTGGTGCCCTCTGCTAGCATGCAAGCAGAAGACATAATAAATAAATAAAATCTTTAAAAAAAAAAGATGGACTAGTATTTTATTTTTTAACTTTTTTTTGAGACAGGTTCTTACTATGTAACACTGGCTGCCCTGGAATTCACTATATAGATCAGGCTGGCTTCAAACTCGAGATCCTCTTGTCTTTACCTCCCAAGTGCTGGGATTAAAGGCATGTGCCACCATACCTAGGACTAGTGTTTTAATAATCTATTAGTCAAGCTTTCAATACTGTATCAAAATACAGGCTAACTGTAAAGAAAACAGGTTTATTAAGATCATTCATTTTTGGAAGCTGAATTTAATAATGGGAAACTATTAGTCTTGTGGTGAGGATATAACAGCATCATCAGCAAGATTATATATGAAGAAAGTACCAGATTGCCGAAGAAGAAGAATCCAGACAGAAATGAGGTCCATAATCATTCCTAAAGCATACCCCTCAATTAATTTAAGCACCTTCAACCACAGTCCACCTCCACAAGGTCCACACTGAAAACTAGCACAGGAGCCTTAGAAACAGCTGTCTAAACCACAGTAACCAAATTAACACTGGCTCCTTGGGGTAAAGAGAACTGGTGATCCTGTCATACTAATTAGATTTGTGTTCACACTTGGATCCCATCTGTGTAGTATAGAAACTGTCAGACTTAAGAACCTACACTAGTATTTTATATTGATTTCAAGTTACATGTTCTGCAGTTACTAGTAAAGTCTGTAGCACTGAGGCAGTAACTTATGACTATTCTTAACAGATCCCGAGCTTTTTCACTGATGCAGAGAGAAGGTCCGTGATGGCTGCAGCTCAGGTTGCAGGCCTAAATTGTCTGAGGCTGATGAACGAAACAACTGCAGGTTGGTATAGCCACTTGAAAACTATCACCAGAAAAACAGCATTTTTTCTCTCTACAGCCTCTTAAAACTCTTGTATTGTTTATAATTTGTTGCTTTGGAATATAGAATTTTGGCTGAACTCACATTTGAACTTAAAGAATGGTTACTGCGGTAACTCTTTACAGATAAGTATTGAAAATAAAATGTTAAGTAATTTGTGAAAAGTTAATGTAGGTTGAATCTATTTTACTATACTGTATATTAGAATACAATATAAAAACAACTTTGTCTTGTTTTCCAAAGGACAGCTATACAATAATTAACCTGATGTTTATTCTTACATAGTTGCACTGGCATATGGAATTTATAAACAGGATCTTCCTTCATTAGATGAGAAACCAAGGAATGTTGTGTTTATTGACATGGGACATTCTGCCTACCAGGTCTCTGTTTGTGCTTTCAACAAAGGAAAACTTAAAGTAAGTAACTCAAATATTTTCTGTATATAAGATTGATGAGTAAGAGCATACAATATGTAAAGAGCACATATTTAACAAGTGGGCTAAAAGTCTTATTCTGCCTCTTAAAAACATAACCATCAGGACTGGAGAGATGACTCAGCAGTTAAGAGCACCATGGGTAGTCCACAACCATCTGAAACTCCAGTTCCAGGGGATCTGAGGCCGTCTTCTGACTTCTGAGTAGACTATGCATGCACATGGTACATAACACACACACACACACAACACACACACGTGTATATGTGTATACACACACACACACACACACACACATATATGCATACACACACATGTAGGCAAAGCATTCATACACAAAATAAATCTAAAAATATTACATGTGCATATATGTGTATATATACATATACATATCCTCAGCAAGTTTCTTAACCTTCCTTGACCTTGTGTTCTCTCTCTCTCTCTCTCTCTCTCTCTCTCTCTCTCTCTCTCTCTCTCTCTCTCTCTCTCTGTCTGTCTTTCTCTCATTTTTTGAGACAAGGTTTCTCTGGCTGTCCTGGACCTTGCTCTGTAGACCAGGCTGGTCTGGAACTCACAGAGATCTGCCTGCCTCTGCCTCTGCCTCCCGAGTGCTGTGATTAAAGGCGTGTGCCTGTTATCTCTTGATTGATAACAACATCTACAAGTTGCCTTTTTTTTAAATGAACAAGAGAGCTTATAGAGTATAAATAAAGGAGTTACTTCCAAGAAGCACTCATCACAAAGTCCACCCAGCAGCATGGAACTTCTGTGAGACCTGTAGGCTGCTTGGCCTGTGGAGCTTCTCCTAGGATTTTTGTAGATATAAAATGCCTGAAATGTGCAGCATCTAGTTGTTTCTGTGTGCTATATATCTATATATCTTTGTTGTTTTTGTGTTCATCTGACAGGAGGTGCACCTTCATGTTACTAAAACAAAATCTTTATAATCAGAGCAAAGGAAATGGCATGTGATAGAATTATAGTATTTTTTCATAAGTTGGTTTAATTCCTGGCCTCTAATCTTAAATTTTAACTTAGTAACAAAGGTGAATTTTCTCTTCCTTTTTCTGCTAACTTGTAGTCATCTATACTTTTTTCATCACTGAGTCTTGTTGAAGTCTGATAAAGAAATTCTTAATTGAATACACCCTTGCGTTATCACATGGCAAGATAATTTTGTATTTCATGCTGGGCAGCAATGAACCCTGTGGATGTTCTGCATTCATAGAGTCTGTTGGAAAAATATCATCAATATAGTATTTGCATCATAGTGTGATGTCCCATCTTAGAAGAAACTGCTGAGGAGCCATTCCTACAGAAGGGTGACTCGGTAATTATAAGTTTAAGTAACCATTTTTCTCAGGGAGAGGGGTTAGATATCCTGGAGTTCTCTGACTTACTGGCCTACACACAGTGGCCAGCTGGTAGTCTGGTGGGAGGCAAGTTATTCTTTGTTTCTATTTCCATTTTTACTCTCTTGTATATTCTTTTGTTTTACATTGTAAAAATGTAGTATCTGGGAGACCATAACCAGTACCTCCTAGCTTATATGTCTAGTACTTTTTTGGAGGGAAGTATGTGGATTGAGAAATGGCAGGTAGAAAATGAAGGATACTAAAGAAAAAACAGACACAGGATTGATTTATGAGGGCAATCCAGTGAATCCTGAATTCTCCCCAAGTTAATTTTTCAAAGCCCTTTTATATCCCAAGCCAAAGGGGAGGGCAAAAAGCTTCTTTTCCATGATACAAAGAACACTCAAAACATTTCTTAAAGAGCAAAACATCCAGCACTCACACCCTTAGGCCAAACACTGGGTCAAAGTAAGACATCCATTAGTTACTTCTTAGGCCAAACATTCTGTTGTTTGACCTTGAAGGAGTGAAAACAAGCTTGAACTCTGTAACCTTATGTCAAGATGAAGTGGAGCTATTTCTCTGGGCCCCAACATGGAAATAAGTAGGTTTCTTAAAAGATCATCACCAAAAGCTTACATACTAATCTAGAAATTGCCTGGCTACATATAATAGTGTAGATCCAGTCTTTTGATATTTTTTTTGGATGCTTTTCTCTTGTCTGCACTTAGCACTTAACTGTTATTTGTCCTTAAACTTCATTTGGGATTCAGTTTATTAGAGAACCAATGAATGTAAGTTAATGAAATCTTACTTGTCACTCAGTTATATCATAATTAGAATTGTCCTTCTAGTTGTGTGATAGATTTGTTTAACTATAGGGCAGGTAATAAAGATGAGAGAGCTGTTTGAGCCAGGTACAAGAGATAATTTAACCCAATATTTGGCACCCAGTGATTAAAAGAGTTCTTTTGGTTGGCCTACAATTTTAAGAGTGTTTTTTGTTTTCTGGTTTGGTTTTTGGCTTTTGATTTTGTTTTTTTGTTTGTGGTGGTTTGAATGCAAATGGTTCTCAGAGGCTCATATGTTTAAATACATAATCTCTAGTTGGTGCAACTGTTTGGGAAGAATTAGGGAGTGTAGCTTTGTTGGAGGTGGTATGGCACTGAGGGTGAGCTTTGAGGTTTCAAAAGCCTATGCCACTCCTAGTTTGTACTCACACACTCTCCCTCCCACCTCCCATCTTCCCTCCCTTTCACCCTTCTCCCTTCCCCTCCTTGAATCATGTTTGTGAGTCATAATGTAAATTCCCAGCTACTGCTCTAATGCCATACCTGTTCGCCTGCTGCCATGGTCCTTGCCACGGTGGTTATGGGCTTTAACCATCTACTAGAGAGAGCTTCATACAAAGTAGAACCAGCCTAAGAAACAGAAGTATGTTGTAGACCGCAAAACTGAAAGGGCAAATCCATATGTGTGCTTTGACATGAGTTGTGAAGTTACAGGGTTTAGAGATTGCCCTGAAGTGTTTGGTCTTACTTTCATCCAGTATTTCCTTACTGTGTCACCCTTTTGGAATGGTAATGTATATTCTGTTCTATTGTTTGTTGGAAGTCTGTAAGTTGCTTTTTGTTTTTTATTTTACAGGGGTTACAATTAAGAGATTGCCTTGAGTTTCAGAAGCGACTTTAATCTGTGAAAAACTAAGGAACTTCTGATCTTGGACCAAATGCATCTTGCTTGATGATAATGGCCACAAGCCTATAGGGACTAGGGAATGTAATGCTGTGGTTTGAATGAGAATAGCTCCCATAGGCTTCTGTGTTTGATTACTTGTCAGTTGGTTGAACTGTTTGAGGAGGATTGGGAGGTATGGCTTTGTTGGAGGAGGTGTGTCAGTATTACCTCTCTCTGCCCTGTGGTTGTGTCTCAAGAGAAGATACTTCAGCTTCTGCTGTAGCATTGTACCTACCTGCCTGCTTCCATATTTCCTGCCATGATGGTCATGGACTCAATCTCTGTAACTGTAGGCTCCAAATTAAATGTTTTCTTTTATATTGATCATGGTGTTTTGTCATGGCAATAGAAAAGTAACTATTACACTGTATTTTGGAAAACTCAGTTATTTTCTTTCAACTAAACAGGTGTTGGCTACTACCTTTGACCCATATCTGGGTGGTAGGAACTTTGATGAAGCTTTAGTGGACTACTTCTGTGATGAATTCAAGACCAAATATAAAATAAATGTCAAGGAGAACTCTCGGGCCTTGTTACGGCTGTATCAGGAGTGTGAGAAACTGAAGAAGCTGATGAGTGCAAATGCTTCAGATCTTCCCTTGAACATTGAATGTTTCATGAATGACCTTGATGTTTCTAGTAAGATGAACAGGTACTGTATGTGTTCACTTGGAAGAGTGCTTGCTGATTTTCTGTTTGGGTTATGATGGGAACTCTTTCCAGTTGTGTTGTTTTAGAGGGTGTATTCAACTTTTCTTACCCAAAATAATGGTTTTTATTTCATTTTTCACAGGGCTCAATTTGAACAGTTGTGTGCTTCCCTCTTGGCCAGGGTTGAACCACCTTTAATAGCAGTAATGGACCAAGCTAGTAAGTAGAAATGACCAACTTTCTTTAAAAGTGTTGTGTTTTTCATTTTGAAAAGAAATTATAACCCATTCATTCATAGAGCAGGACACTAGAATTTCAGCTTTCTGAGCATTTCCCTGCTTGTTATGTTGTTTGGGGTGCTTTATGTGATTATATAAGATTTTAGTAGGAGATTAAATTAGATATGAGGATATAATTGAGGTCCTGAAGATAACTTTTTAAATAGTCTTAATACAGTTAGAAGGTGAAAATTAGAAAGGTGATAACCTCTGGAGAGCTTCAAAGCTCATAAGGAACTTTTCTGTACTTGTCATTGACATCTGGACCACAGTCAGTGGCATCACACAGACAATGTTACAGTTTGCCTTTTCCATAATTGCTAGGGTTCTTTTATCTTCTTTTGAGCACATAAAAAATCCACTTACATGCATATAAAGTACATTCTAGCAACTAGTGTGCACAAATTTTGAAGACTTCTCATTCTTTCACTGAAACACATTTTACTTCCAGACTTACAACGTGAAGACATAAACAGCATAGAAATTGTAGGAGGGGCCACTCGGATTCCTGCAGTCAAGGAACAAGTCTCTAGGTTCTTTCTGAAAGATATCAGTACCACACTAAATGCTGATGAAGCCGTTGCCAGAGGATGTGCATTGCAGGTTAGAACTGCTTAATATGTAGTTTGCACAGTGTCTGTAACAGGCCTTTTATCTGTTCCAATCACCCCGTCAATATGCTGAAAGTAAACTGAGGTTACTCTAGGTAAGGCGTGCATGTGCGAAAGAGAGAGAGAGAGAGAGAGAGAGAGAGAGAGAGAGAGAG